CCTGTTTTTAGAATTTTACACCGTTTTCTAATCTAGCATGTTTTTTATTTAGTTTAATATCACTTATTTTATTTACTTTCATTTTATATGCTTTTATGTGACCGTTTATTATTGTGTGTACCTCATCTGTGGTTTTTGTTTAAAACAGGTCTCTCTTGTAAATGAGTCCTCGTGACTCAATGAGACTAACCTGTATAAATAAAGGTTGAATGGAGGGGGGGGGGGGGGGGGAGCAAAGCTTTTGCTGAGTAAAAACTTTTAATTTTTATTATTACAATAGGAAAATCACACCTAAAGCATTAGAGACAAAGAAACTACGACAAAAAAAAAAAAAAAAAAGCAGCCATCAGTTTTATTTTTATGATTTATTCTTATCCTCTTGTCTCAAGTATGGCTGTTTTAGATAGATTTTTGCTTTTAGAAATTATAATTTTTTTAAACTGGAGCAAATAAAGTTGGCTAAGTTGAACTGTAACATAGAGAAAGACAATCTGTCAGTCATTTCTGATTTGATGGAGCCAGATTTGACTCTTTCTCTTTGTTTAGTTCGTTTCAATCACCCCCTCACACATGGTTGTAGCTCCCCTCAGTGGATGATACACGTTGTTACTTTAAATAGACGACGCCATAAAACAGAATCTGCCACATTTCACACCATCAGTCAGTTGTTTTTAACTTTTTTAAGGTGGTTTGATTGATGAACAGACAGATGAACAATTGTTTATGGTCACTATGGATATATGAAGAAAAAATAAATACTTTGAAAGATTTTCAAAGAGCATTTAAATTATTATTTTTAATTTATGGGGAAAATTATATCATATTCAAAGTTCCTCACACACTTGCATTACAATTCCTAACATATGTATCTTTTATGGCTCAACATGTAGCAGCTCATCAGAGCTGTTGAACCTGGGATCCTCTTTGCACATGGGTTCTTGGCAAAAACACCGAATTTCACACTTCTCCTGACAAACCACATGTGCACATCTGTGTGTGTGTGCTGAAATACTCTTTAAAGCAACAGTTACTGACTTTAAGAACAAGAAAATCCTCAGAACGAGCAGCTTTCTTTACAGACAGTTGAGAAACAGTGGACAACAATCACCAAAATTAGACAAATGCAAGAAATGTGGCTCAATTCTCAATAACTCAGATTTTGTTTTAGATGGCAGGAAGGAAAGGATGATGCTCAAATAGTACAAGTTATAACTGTAAGATGAGGCACATAAGTAAACAAAGTCAGATATTGTTCTGGTATACAGTTACATATACATGTTAGCACAATATTTAAAGAACAAAAACTCTTCTTCTGTTGAGGAATATGAATAAAGGTCAAGATCAGACTATTCAATATGGAGGTATGTTACTGTTATTTTGCAGCATTTAGAACCCAAATTAGATCAATAAAGGCATATTTAAGAGTTTAGGGTATAGAAAGGTGCACTAATTATAAACTCCTTTAACAATGACGTGTCTTCCTGGATGAAAGTGTCCTCATCTGAATAAAACAACATGCCACTGAATGTTTTGAAGAGCAGAAAATGATGTGATCTTTGCTGTCTTTACAACTGAAAACCTATATTTTGACAATTCTTAATCATTGTTATATATACTGGTACATATATATATATATATAACTGATATTTTTTAAATCTGGTAGGGCTTGCACATTAACTTAAAGCCCTGCTCAAGTGATAAATCCTCTCGGTTTGGCCATCTCTGTCTAAACGCCCACTCCCCCTTGTCTCTGTGCTCACAGGGATGAATGAATGAGGACAGACAGAGCATCTTTTGTTTGAAAGTTGTGCGACTGACCTACATGCCTTAAGACAGAATTATCCCCGCCTGAATTCAGTCCATGTTTCCGGTATTTGACAGCATTGCAAAAAGTGTTCAAATGTTTTCTGTGAATGGAAGATGACTGTGAGGGTGGGGAAAAAAAAACATTTATCATAAAATACAACTGTGTGTATTATAGTGAACAGGCCTGAGCACTGTCCCATACTTTAATGCTGACATTTAAACAGCATTTGACTATAACATTAGCTTTTTCCACTTCCAAATATATTAAAGGTATTCTTGCAAATTATGAAATCATACATAAAAATGTCATTCTTAATTATATTAAATGGTTTGAAGTAGAAAAAGAGTTTACTTCAGCAGTTTTCTTAATTTATTGATATGAAATTCCTGAATGCAGGTATGCACTCAATGTAGACAAAGCACTTTTATCTACACATTTGAGTAAAATTATGTACAAATTTATCTAAATTGTCAGACTTGTCGATCCCAAACGGCTCTTCCATGGACGCCGCCACTCTTGAGCTAATTTCAGCCATTTCGGCAGTTTCCGTAGGTAAAAAAATACAAAGTAGTTGACTTGAGGAACCATAAGAGGAGCAAAAATACTGTGTATTTTGTTTCTTCCCCTTTGAATGTTGTTTTTGATGGGTCTTCACGACTTCGCAATGAGTACCTTTAAATTTTAGTTGCAAATAACATGCTTCAAGCCAAATAAGTCGAAGAAATAAATAAGAAAATTTTTAAAAAGTTTGTATAATTTAAGCTAGTAATAAAATTAACATCACAATTCAATATAAATATATTATTTGAACATACAAGCAATCATTAAAAAACATGAAAGATTCATAAATAATAACATGGGGTGGAAATAAAATGTACAGGATTGAGAATTTTTGAGTAAATGTTTTCAAAGTATTTTGATTCTTAGATGAAGTAGCAGTCCTTCAATATCAATTTTTTTTCTAGTTAAACACAAGAAAATGAGGTTTAGTTAGGGCAAACGATAATTGTTTTCAAGCTCTTTCCATCCATCCATTATCTTTACCAGCTTCCTCCTTTTTGGGTTGCGGGGGTCACTGGTGCCCATGACCAGTCATCACTGTGCGAAAGGCAGAGGACACCCTGGAGAGGTATCAAGTCCATCACAGAGCCATCAGGCTATTTCAACAAATCATAAATCCAAATGTTCAACTCTTTCAGGACAATCCTGCTATGACTTTTGATATTGGTGCAACTTTAGCTTTTTGAAATATTTGGCCTTTTCTGTCAATTTTTCCTCATAGAAAATGAACTGAGCTCATTTTCCATTCTTCAAATCTTTAGATCTGTTTACAATCTTTTACTGCTCCTTTCACATTTTGTTCTGGTTTAGCTTCTTTCAGCTTATTTGTGCAAATTTAAATAGTTTTTTTTCAGCTGTTTTGCACTCCTTTCAGATTATTTCTGCTAACTACATTTTTGTGCTTCTTCTAACTTATTTCTGCTCATTTCAGCTTGTTATGCTCCTTAGCTTATTTCTGCAAGTTTAACCTTTTTCTACAATTTCAGCTACTATAACATTTGTAAGCTAATTTAAGCTTTTTCAGCTAATTCCAATTCCATTTTTTACACTTTTGCACTCATTGCAACATTTTTTCAGCCTAATTCAGCCAAAAAAAAAAAAAAAGTGCTCCCTCCACCTCCTCCTTATAATTTTAGCTTCTTTCTGCCTTTTAGCTAGTTTTTAAGTGTTTTTGTGCGTGCTAATTTCAGCTTTTTTCAGATAATTTCCACTTTCTGTGCTCGTTTGCTTCTTTCAGCATAATTGGGCAAACATGTTCTTTCTGCTTTCTTATGCTAATTTAAGCTTGTTCTCACTTTTCAGCTACCTTGTTTGCATTTATGTAGCTAATTTCAGCTGTTTTTAGATAAATTCAAGTTTTCATGGTGATATCAGTTAGTTTCAGCCTAATTAACATATGTAATTTCAGCTTGTTATGTTCCTTTCAGCTTTTTTCTGCTAGTTTCAGCTTTTTTTTGCTCTTTCAGCTACTATTTAGCTCTTCTGATGCCATTTTTAGTTTTTTTTCCCCACATTTTTTTTAGCTCATTTCAGCTTTTTCCACTTTCTTCTGGTAGTTTAACTTCTTTCTGCCGTTTCAGCTACTTTTCAGCTATTTTTTTGTTGTTGCTAACTTCAGCTTTTTTTTTTAGCCAATTTCCTAATTTTTGTGCTGCTAATTTAAACCTGATTCAGAAAATGTGTCCTTCTTGCTTTCTTCTGCTAAATTAGGCTTGTTCTTCCATTTCAGCTACGTTTCAGAATTTTTGTTAGCTAATTTCAGCTGTTTTTCAGCAAGATCTTCTGCAATAATCAATCACACTGCATTTTCGCCGGAAGTGAGAAATGTATCATTTCACTGATATAAATTACCAAGCCAAACACCTAAAATTTAATTAATAAAATTACTTCCCACGTAGCCTATAGCAAACAAATGCTTAAAGTGTCAGACGAAGCTCAAATCAACGGATTATACTGATTAAAACGAAACGTTAAGATTAGCTATTAGTTTATCTGCTGGTGTTATGCCGAAAAAAGGACCCCCGTCGTGAAAGGCACCCAGTTCGGCGCCGTTGGCACTCGGGTATTTCCGTGAAAGGACACGAAGTTCTAACTCGTCCAGCTACCGGATCGAAATGGAGCCCCGCCATTGGTCCCAACCGTTTGTCCGCCGGCGGGGAGAGGAGGCGGGGGCGAGCAATGACGGGCTAAACCCGTGCGGACAGTTTGGATGGAACACGACACAACCCACGGCTGGGACACACACGGGCCTACCTGAACGTTACCGTGCGAAAATGTCTCGGGAAAGAGGAGGAGGAGGAGCAGGAAATAATTTCTGCTAATACACCGCCCGCGCGAGATGTCACGGCGCGGCGGACTGCGTGACAGGAGGCTGGCGGAGTGGACGCACCGAGCGCGACGGAGCCAGCACAAGTAAATAAACGGTTTAAGTCTGTACAGGTAGTTCCCGGGAACTTGTGTTATAAAAAGGAGGGATTCGGCCGGTGAATTCCTGGAAACGCGGAGCTCCGACTGGAATGACAAATGCAGCCTCTGCGTGAGGGGGGGCTCATTCTCCGAAGTTGACGCTCAGACTTTGGCTTCAGAGGCTCGTGTGCCATTAAAAGACCGTCCGTCCAGCACGTTTGACAGATAGCCAATCAAAATCAGGTATTCAAATCGCTGCTCGTGTGTCACTGACCTATATCCCATGCGTGGACGTCAAAACCCCACGGGAACCTCTCCTCCACACCAGTCAGCATGGGGACCAACGGGTTAGACAGTCCAACGCAGCCGTCCAGCGAGGCGTCCCGCACGGAGCAGCAGCCGGCTGCAGAGCCCCGCATGGAGCCGAGATGTGCTCCACTTCACGCAGACGGCGGTAAGGATGGGCAGCCGGTGCAGCCGACAGAGGACGGGTCCAAGCCCCCCCTCTCTCCTGGTGCAGAAGAAGAAGCTGGGGTCCAGGTGAAGATGCACGACCACGGAGCCGGATTCGTGCCCCCCGAGGGAGGTTGGGGCTGGCTTGTGGTTTTTGCGGCCACCTGGTGCAATGGATCCATCTTCGGGATTCAGAACTCTTTTGGCATTTTGCATTTGATGCTGATGAAGGAGCACTCTGACCCAGAGGACCACTCCCAGTTTAAAGTGGGTGAGTAAAGTCTAACAAGTGGACCAGGGTGCAGCTCACAAAATGGGTGTTTAGGTTGAAAGAAAAATAGTTTTACCTGCAGTATATTTATTAAACTCACTATGTGGGTCATCTCAGAATCCAGGGGACTAAAAGGGACCTCTATGTAGTTACAGTAAATTAAAGCTTCATTAATATATTACATGCAGTTCACGTTGCTTTTTATTTTTCTGTAAGTTTTCTTTTACTCTACTTCTGCCAGCTTTGTTATTTTTGCCATTCATAAATGAAAACATTCATGTCTGTCAGGAGATGGCAGCTGTAACTTTTGTTGTTGTAAGTTTATACTTTTTTAAAAGGTTTAGGGTTGTGCACAGAAATGCATTATAATCTCTTCAGTTACTTAATCTACAGTATAACTTTTTAAAATCTGCTTCGGCATACTTGGACTGTTTTGTCTTTTTTTTCTACCAGCTTTTTAGCTATCATTCTGCCACTTTTAGCTTTTTGCTGATATTCTGCCGCTTTGACCTTCTGCTATTTTTAATTTTAGTTAGCTTTCAATACTTTGGCTTATAGCTATTATTCTCTTCTTTAAACTTTAACCTACCATTCCGCCATTCTCAGCTCTTAGCTACTATTCGGCATCTTTAACTTTAAGCTACCATTCTGCCACTCTATTCTAATTTTAACTTTAAGCTACCATTCTGCCACTCTTAGCTCTTAGCACTTAGCTACTATTTGGCGACTTAACTTTAAGCTACAATTCTGCCACTCTTTGCTCTTAGCTGCGATTCTTCTACTGTTAACTTTAAGCTACCATTCTGCCACTCTTAGCTACTATTCGGCTACTTTTAACTTTAACCTACCATTCTGCCACTCTTAGCTCTTAGCTACTATTCGGCTACTTTTAACTTTAA